CCACACGATAGTTTATGTGTAGGGTATGTCATAGTGTGCATGTGTGTGGAGATCAGAAGACAGCTTGTGGGAGTCAGTTCTCTACTTCCACCATGTGGCTTCCTGGGGTTGAACTCACATAGACAGGCTTGGGGGCAAGTCTCTTTATCTGAGCCATCTCTCTGGCCCAACTTTCAGTCTCTTACTTAGGGCCTGGGGCACGACAAGACTAGGCGTTGGGACAATGAGATGGAGCTTTACCAGATTAAGTGTATTCACAGTCTCAAAGTCTCAAATTCTCCAGAGTGTGTATGTGCCCAATAGAGGGTGAGTCTGTGAACAGACACCCCTAACTTGCCCTCTAACCAGTGAGTCAGTCAAGCATCCCTGGGTCAGCAGACTGTTTTTTTTCATTTTTATTTTTTGGTCTTTTTGAGACAGGGTCTCCCTGAAGCCCCAGCTGGCCTGGAGCTCACTATGTAGACCAAGATGATCTTGAACCCATGGAGATGCACCTGCCTCTGCCTCCCAAGTGCTGGGATTAAAGGTGCGTGCTACTACGCCTGGCAGCAGACTGGTTTTGAGCAACCTGAAAGTCCCTTTCCCCTCCTTCACTTGCCTCTCCATACATCTCCAGGTCAGAGAGAGGTCCCTTACTCTGTAAATTCACCTGCCCGCTCTGTTGTCCACTTAATTCCAACTTTGTGATTCTTAGCAAGTATCTCTAGGTATCCTGCTCCAGCCTCCTGGTTAAGGGCTCAGGTGTCCCTCTCCTGCTTTAGCCTCCCTGGTTAAAGGCTCAGGTGCCCAACTCCATGGTGAGCAGTTCATAAAAAGGAAGTCAAATCACCCTGCTGGTGATGAGCTATTTGGAGCCAGGTTCCTTCCCAGCTGCTGACCCCACCCCTACTCACCTCCCTCAGAGGCGGCAGAAGCAAGAACCAAGCAGGCTAAGATGAAGGCTGCTCTGGATATGGTCCCCATCCTGGGGCAAGGACTGGTCACCTGCCACCCGGCAGCTGGTTGTCTCTGGCAGATGTGAAGGGCTGGGCTGCTGGAAGCCTGCTCCTCCTCTAGCTTGCTACTGCTGTTGTCAACTTCAAGGCCGGCTTCTCCCTTTATATGTTATCTCCCGCCCTCTCCAGTTTCCTGCCGTGACTCAGTCCCAGCTGCTCCTCCTCTGATAGTCACTCCTGCCAAACTCATTCTGGAGCTTCCTTAAAGGACTGGGAAGGATGGAGGGGATGGCAGGGAGCATTCATATAGCCCCTGAACTGAGTCAGAGAATCATGGAACAAGTGATATTTGAGCCCTAACTTTGTGCCTCAGTTTCTCCATCTGCACTCTGTCCTTTGGTAGAGAAGGGATCTGACAACCTCCTGAGCTGGGGGCTGGGGAAATAGCCTTAAGCACTTTAATGGAGGAAAGAAGATGGCAGCACAAGTTCCCTTATCAGTCAGAAACTTTGCTACCCCTTTCCTCAATTTGGGAGAAAAGAATTTCCTTCCCTTCACCCCTAGGAGTCAGATGAAGACACATTATCCAACAGCTTCAAGTTTATTTTTCATATCATTCTCCTTATAGCCAAACAGTACAATTTTCCTTCCTGTGGGGAGCCCCCAAACAAGTATACTTTCAGGACAGCAGAAACACAGCTCTGAGGAGTCTGGGAAATTCTGGCTGGCACCTGGGTTGGGGGTCTCTGTGGTAAGAAAGACTGACGGCTCTCCTGAGTCTATGCCTCATCTATGTACGGAAACTCAGAAACTTTCTTCAGCATTGGGGATCCTGGCGTTCTGTAGCTCTAGCAGTCTCTGCACAGCCTCAGTCAGGTCTCGCTCCCCAAGTTGTTGATTGTCTCGAGTGCGTATGTTTACTGTTCTCTTGCTCTGCTCTTTCTGGCCCACCACTGCAGGAAGAGGAAAGGTTGTGAATCCCAAGATAAATTCACCCCCAGGGGCTATTTCCTTTTGCTCGGCAGAAACTTTAGGATTCTAAATCTTTAGGAAGCGTGGGAGCAGAGCCTAGATATGGTTTAAAGAAGTGTATCTAGCTGTGCTCTGCAGATTCTTGGTTCATTCTGGGATAAGGAAATGGTCCAGGCTCAACAATGCCTTATCACTTCAGGTCAGGAAGGAGCCCTGAGGTCAGAAATGCTAGTCAGTTAGAGAAAGACAAACAGATTGAGAGCCATACACAAAGAAAAACTATATGCCTGAACTGGGGGGAGGGGGGGGGGGAGTTTGTATCACAGCATGGTTTGACACCCATGTACAAGTCCATGGGACTATGGCACAGTTTGCCTAAGTAAGTGCTGGCAAGGCAAGTGGGGTGTGTAATACCAGAGAAGGTGGTCTGGTTTGGGCAATTTCTGCTTCTTGCCTTTTACAGCTCTGAATGCCAGAGAATGGAAAAAGCAGGAGCAAAGCAGTGCTATTTTTCCTTAAGGCCTTTCTTCTTGCCCCTTAGAGCTGACTCCACCCCTAGGGATTAAATTTAGGGCCTTATACATGCTAGGCAAGTGCTCTGCCTCTGAGCTACATACCCAGCTCTTGGTTAATTGATAAGGTGTTGCTATACAGTCTACACTGGCTTCAACTCTGACCCTCCTGAGTCCTGGAATTGCAGGCTTGCCTACCATTCCTGGCTCCAATGGATGCTTTCTTAACCTTTCTTGTCCCTTTGTCTCTCATGCTAGCTTGTTTAATTAACCTAACAGAAATATCCTAGGGTAGAGTTAATAAGAAGAAATCTGTTGAGGGACAGAAGAGGTTATGGGGAGGAGCAAAGGGTGGAACTCAGGGAAAATTAGTCAGGTTCCTACCCAGCTCAGGTAATGAACCACAACTGACCCAAATGTACACACAGCCAAACAACAGTCTTCATAGAAAGAACCCAGAACCCAGGGCTCTGAGGTGCAGGGCTAACACACTGTCTTACCAAACTGAAAGTTGTAGTGTGCAAGCTGGGCCCGGCGGACTCTCCGGCTGAGGGTCAGTCCAGAGTCAGCATCTAGGTCACTGACTAGTCCTACAGCCTGGAGGCACTGTTGTACCTGGAACATAGGTTTTGTAACAAGGAAATTTTACTTTTTTTTTTTTTTCTTTTTGGTCTTTTTGAGACAGGGTCTCCCTGTAGCCCCAGCTAGCCTGGAACTCACTATGTAGACCAGGCTGGCCTTGAACTCACAATGATCCACCTGCCTCTGCCTCCCTAGTACTGGGATTAAAGGGTGCAACACACCTGGCTGGTAACAAGGAAATTTTAATGGAAGTAGAGCTAGGATGGTCAGCCACTCAGATGCTCTCCGAGTCCCTCATCTTACCTCAGTGCTCTCAGGTGCTCACTGACAACCTGTCTCATCTCTGAGACACTGAGGCCTACTCCCCATCCCTGATCTCAAACTTCCTAATGGAGAAGGGCTTTGCTTGCTGTTAGGCACCAAAGTCCTGAACCAGCTATACAACACTAGTACCGCCTTTCTATATATTTAAAATTTATAAGCAGAGTATCATGCAGGTTAGGCTATATGTAGTCAAGAGTGACCTTGAACTTTTTATTTTTTAATGTCTTTTTGAGACAGAGTCTCCTTGTAGCCTTAGCTGGCTTGGAACTCAGAGACCACCTGCCACTGCTGGGATTAAAGGTATGCACCATCATGCCAGGCTGACCTTGACTTTTTTTGATTCTTCTTTCTCCACCTCCTGAGTACTGAGATTATAGGCATGTACCTGGTTTATGTGGTGCTGGGGATTAAACCCACTGCTTCATGCATACTAGATAAGAACCCTACCAACTGAACTATATCCCTAGGCCCCATATTCATTTTTTAAAAATGATTTTATTTATATTTTATGAGCATGTATGTTTTGCCTACATGTATGCAAGTGCACCATGTACATGCCTGGTGCCTGTAGAGGCCAGAAGAGGGCATCAGACCCCCTGGAACTGGAGTGATGGACAGGTGTTAGCCACCATAGGGCTGCTAGGAACAGAACCCAGGTTTCTGGAAGAGCAGCCACTCTTAACCACTCAGCTATTTCTGCAGCCCCCACATCCTCATTTTTTGAGATAGGGTCTCACTAAGTAGCCCAGGCTGGATTCAAATCTGTGACCCTCCTGCCTCAGCTTCCCAATTGCTTGTTTTACAAATATGAGCTACCACACCTGGCTCTTTAGAAAGGAAATTCTCTTTAGAAAGGAAAAATAGAATCAACATTCAGATAAGCTCACTTTTGTGCAAAGCGCTCTGTTGGGAAATAGCAAACATTTGTTAATCTGTTTACTTTTCACACACCTCAAGATTAATTTCATTCTTTAGATACAGATTTTTCAGCACATATGGTAGCTGCCACTCAAGCTCTTCCTACTACCCTGAACAGCCTATTCCAACCCTGTACTGATCCTACTGTTCCTGCTCCGCATCTCCCCTTCTGCTCAACTCCTCACCTGCCTGGCATAGGCCTCTTGCTCTGTCCTCACAGGGATCACCACCACCTGGAATGGAGACAGCCACAGTGGCCTGGTTGGGAGAGAACAGGGGTCAAATTATTCACTTTGGCTTTAACCTTAAGTGTGGGCAGGGAACAGATCTGAGAAGAAAATAAACTAGGGTAAGAAGAGGATCAGAACCTGGGGCATGAACCATCTGGCTGGAGGCCCAGAATAGAAATTTGATGTTGGATGTCTTACCATTTTCCCCCACAGTTTTCTGCCAGCACTCCCAACAGCCTTTCCACAGAACCAAGCACTGCTCGGTGAATGAGAACTGGACACTCCAGGGCCCCTGCCTGCCTTGGAAGGAAAAGAGGAGCAGATGGAAGGGTGAAAGTCCCACAAATAACCTTCCAGTTATCAACAAATATTCATCCCTGGGAGCTAGAGAGATACGATTCCCAGCACCCAGTCTGTAACTTCAGTTCTAGGGGATCCAACACCCTCTTCTGGCCTTTGCGGGGTATTGCACGCATGTGGTACACATATACATACATGCAGGCAAAACACTCACACATAAGATAAAAATGATAAAAAATTTTTTTTTTGTCTTTTTGAAGCAGGGTTTCCCTGTAGCCCCAACTGTCCTGGAACTCACTATGTAGACCAGGCTAGCCTTGAACTCACAGAGATCCACCTGCCTCTGCCTCCCTAGTGCTGGGACTTCAGGCGTGAGACACCACGCCCGGCAATAAAATATTTTTTAAAAAGGATGGGGTTGGGGCTGGAGAGATGGCTCAGAGGTTAAGAACACTGACTGCTCTTGTAGAAAACCCGGGTTCAAATCCCAGCGCCCACATGGCAGCTAACAACTGTCCGTAACTTCTGTTCCAGGGGATCCAATGGCCTCTTCTGTCCTCCACGGGCATTGCACGACATGGGTGCACTTACCTACATGCAGGCATAACACTCATACACATAAAATAAAAATAATAAATATATTGCTGGGGGTGGTGGTGCACGCCTTTAATCCCAGCCACTTGGGAGGCAGAGGCAGGTGGATCTTCGTGAGTTCGAGGCTAGCCTGGGCTACAAGGAGACCCTGTCTCAAAAAGACAAATAAATAAATATTTTTTTTTTTAAAAAAAAGGATGGGGTTGAAGGAATGACTCAGCAGTTAAGAGCATTAGCTATTCTTGCAAAGGACCCAGATTTGATTCCCAGCACCCAGATGGTGGCTAACAACCATCCATAATTCCAGTTCTGACCTCTGAGGGCATTGCACAACACAGTTGCACTTACATACATGCAAGCAATACACCCATATATATAAAAATAATTTTTTGTCTTTTTTTGTTTTTCTTTTTGTCTTTTTGAGACAGGGTCTCCCTGTAGTCCCAGCTGGCCTGGAACTCACTATGTAGACCAGGCTGGCCTTGAACTCACAGAGATCTGCCTGCCTCTGCCTCCCGAGTGCTGGGACTAAAGGCGTGCACCACCATGCCCGGCTAAAAATAATATTTTTTAAAAAGAAATAGTCATCCCTGATGGAGGAACAGTGTGGAGGATTTGGCTTAGTTTTGGGGGTCTAAAATAGAAGGGAGTTTTCATCTATCCCATGGGCTATCCAGGGAAAAAGGACCAGAGCAGGATTCTATACCCCTTGTACTGCAGGTTGAATCTCAGTGGTAGCTGGAAATCAAGCTGTATTGTCCCACATTGATGGGGCCGACCAAGGGCATCACGGAGGTGCACATCAATCTGGAAATAGAGATGGGAAGACACAAGAGAAATGAGACCCAACATCTTTCATTATCTGTACCATCCCACTCTTCTACCTACCTGGGTCCTGAGGCACTTGGAGAGTTACATCACCCCTGCTATACCACTCTCCCCCTCTATTCTACAGCACTCATTCTGCCAATGGGTCTCGGGAGCTTTCTCTACTTAATAGTGTTATATAGGGGCTAGCTATACTCCAGCTCTCAATTCCTTGTGTTCTTCATTTGAGACCTTCCTCTCATCCACACAATGGTCACCCTTTACCCTGTCATCTCCCTCAAAGGCTGCACTTCCAAACATCCATCTTGCTTACAGATGATAATTAATCCTATTACTCCTTTAATCCAAGCACTTGGGAGGCAGAAGCAGGCTGATCTCTGTGAGATTGAGGCCAGCCTGGTCAACCTAGAGAGTTCCAGACCAGCTGGGGCTACAGGGTGGGGTCCTGTCTTAAAAAAAGAAAACAACAAAATAAACCTACCAGTCAGGCAGGGTGTGGTGGGGCATCCCTGTAATCCTAACACTCAGGAGGCAGGGGCAGGAGGACAAGTTGGAGGACAGTCTGCTACATAATAAATTCTAGGCCAATTTGAGTTACATAGTGAGACCAGCTAACAAAACAAAACTACAACAAAAACTCCACAAAAAACCTAGCAGTCTTTGGGGACCAATCCCATGGCCTTATGCAACTAGGCAAGTTACCCTAATACTGAACCACATTCCTAGGCTCCTAGTTTTGGTTTTTTCTTTTTTTAAAAAAATATTTTATTTTTATTTTATGTATATGAGTGTATTGCCTGCATGTATATGAGTGCACTGGTGTGGTGCAATGCCACGGAGGTCAGAAGAGGGCTTCGGATTCCCCTGGAACTGGAGTTAAGGGTGGTTCATAGCTGCCATATGGGTGCTGAGAATCAAACCCGGGTCCTCTGCAAGAGCAGTTGTGTTCTTAATCGCTGAGCCATCTCTCGAGCCCCTTGTTTTTTCTTCTTGAGACGGGGTTTTCCTGTAGCCACAGCTGGTCTGGATTCGCTATGGAGAACAGACTGGCCTTGAACTCACAAGAGATCCACCTGCCTCTGCCTCCCGAGTGCTGGGCCTAAAGGTGTGCACCAGCATGCCCAGCTTTCCTGGTTTTGTTTTTGAGATGAGGTCTTATTATGTTGCCCAGGTAGACCTCAAATTCCAGGACTCAGGTGATCCTTCTTCATTAGTTTCCCAAGTAGCTACAATACAGGGTAGTGCCAGCATGACAGGTTCCTAACAGCCTTTTTTTTACTGAATCCAGCAGACCCTATCGAGTCCCCTTTTCCCTGTAGTTTTTGCCTTTTTTCTAACTTGTCCTGTGAATTTTCACCCTATCCCCAAAACCTCTGCTTACACTATTGCCTCCTGGAAGAGCCCCTTCCTTGGCAATTATTTACCTGTAGACTGGAGTGATTCCTACAGGAAACATTTCCTATTCTTGAGTAATGCCAGACCCATCTTGTGCTCTCGGAGTAGCTATTCAGCACTGGTCCACTGTGCTGACAGGGTCTATTTACCTTCACTAGACTCTTGAGTTCTGTGAGGGCAGGAAATGTATTGCTTTTTTTTTTTTTTTTTTTTTTTTTTTTTTTGAGGGTCTCCCTAGCCCCAGCTGTCCTGGAACTCACTATGTAGACCAGGCTGACCTTGAACTCACAGAGCTCTGCCTGCCTCTGCCTCCTGAGTGCTGGGACTACAGGCGTGTGCCAACACGCCCAGCTATTGCTTTTTAAAAGAATATTTATTTTTGTGTGTATGAGTGTTTTGCCTGCATGTATATAGGTGTAGCTGTGTTGAACAAATCCTGCAGAGGCCAGAAGAGGGTGTGGCCCTGGAACTGGAGTTATAGATGGTTGCTAACTACCATGTGGGTGCTGGGAACTGAACCTAAATCTTCTGCAAGAGCAGCCAGTGCCCATAACCACTGAGCCATCTCTCCAGCCCCTATTGCTTTTTTCTTCTTAAAAAATATTAGCTTTATTTTGTGTGTATGAGTAAGTGTACCCATGTTGTACAATGCTCATGGAATCAGAAGAGGGCATCATATCCCCTGGAACTAGAGTTATAGATGGTTGTTAGTTGCCATGTGGGTGCTGGGAATTGAACCCAGGTCCTCTGAAAGAGCAGTCAGTGCTCTTAACCACTAAACCATCTCTCCAGCCCCTTAAGTTTCCATCCTACTTAAGTTTAAAAACAATTTTTGTAGCTATTTAGTAAAATAAAATATGATCAAATAAAACTCTAAGCAGGATTCCCAGCTTGCCTTAGGTCCATAGAAAGCACCATCTCCAGGGTTAAGGTCCCAGGGTTCTCCAAATTCCTCCAAGGCCTGTTGAAGGACCTTAGAGGAAGTAAGACAGGAGAGGAATATGTTATGAGATACAATGTACAAGATACTCCTTTAGTCTATAATAAATGTACCTGTAAGAGCTTATGTCCTCAACTGAGAGCATGGCTATCATATCTCCTCACACTCCACTGGGGAGTGATTTATCTGCATGCTTCCCTAACTCCTACTCACCTGTTCAGCCTGGTCCCATAGGCAAGGTTCCCCTAGGAAGCCAGATGGCCGGGTGGATAAAGCCAGGCGGAAGGAAAAGCCAAGGACAGCATAAACAGAACGGATGAAATCAAGACAGCCTCGGATCTCTGCTTCCAGCTAGAGACAGGAAATCAGTGTGGGTGAGCTGTATGTCAGCTAGAGATCTGGGGTGATGGTAGTTTTGAGAAAATGGTGTAAAACCAGAGGGGTAGCAGAACAGTTGGGAGCAGACGGTAGCTAGCTACATGATAGTACAAACAAGGAAACTGAGGATATAGCTCTGTTGGTATAAAGCCTGCATGAAGTCCAGGGTTTGAGTTCTAGCACTGTATAAACCAGGCATGGAAGCACACACCTGTAATCTCAGTATTCCAGAGGTGGGGGCAGGAGGACCAATCAAGGGCACCCTCAGCTACACAGTGAATTTGAGATCAGCCTGGGCTACAAGAGACCCTGTCTCAAAAACAAAAAACAAAACAGGAGACAACTGAAGGTCAGGGAAGTTGAAGTTTCTCAGGGAGAATTAGGAATGGGTGTATATATGCTTTGGAAAGCAGTGAAGGGATACCTGATCTGGTGCACAGAATATGTGAGCATCATCCTGCTGGAAACGCCATAGCCGGGTTAGTCCTCCCAGACTGCCAGAGGCCTCAGCCCGATGCAGGACTCCAAAATCAGCCAGTCGCACAGGTAGTTCCCGCCAGGATCTGGGCCGGTGGGCGAACATCAGGCTGAGGTTGGGGTAGGAAGGGATCAGGGCTACAGAGGAAATTAGCCCCTGTAGACTACTTTTTTTGGTCTTTTTTGAGATAGGTTCTCCCTGTAGCCCCAGCTGGCCTGGAACTCACTATGTCCTTTTCCTTTTCCTTTTTTTTTTTGGTCTTTTTGAGACAGGGTCTCCCTGTAGCCTCAGCTGTCCTGGAACTCACTATGTAGACCAGGCTGGCCTTAAACTCACAGAGATCCACCTGCCTCTTCCTCCCAAGTGCTGGGGTTAAAGGCATGTGCCACCACGCCCAGCCATCATTTCTTTTTTTAGATACCACTAACTTACAATTAAAATAGGCTTCCCATTCATTATCTTTTGTTCTGTTTCCAAGGACTGCTAGTTTTGCATGTAAAAATATCAATTTTAGAGTACCAAAGGGTCCCCATATTGGGAATCATAAATGCAAGTTATCTTTGGTTAGATTTCTCCATTTTTCCAAATACTTTCCCGTTGAAAATCCATAATTATTATACATAAGTCAGCTTGAATGTGAGATGGCAGTTTATCTTTAAACACATTCTCCTTTTTGGAAATTTTTCCAACTTTTTTTCTTTCCTCTAAAAGAACTGCAAAGCTTTGTATGTTAGGTGGGGAATAAGCATTTTTGATGGGTTCACATACTGCTTTGGGGATGGACTTTTTCAGTTTCACCATGAGACCATGTTTTCCCACTGGGTCTCAGGGGTTAACCTTTATCTTTACCGAAATGTGAGGGAGGTCAAGACACTGGGAGATCAAGCCCTTATGTGTGTCTTCCTATTGGAGCCAACGAATTTCCTTCTGACCCAGGATGGGGAATGTTTGTTGGGTTTCACTGTGAAGGTGTTGCATGTCATGTGGAGTTCCCACTGACACCTCCACACTGTTACACTAGAGTGAGCAAGTGCCTCATATCTTCAGCATCATTGTGATCAGGGGCTCATGAAATCCCTAAGCTAAAGGGAAGAAAGGTTGAAATAAACAGAAGCCACAGAAAAATGCAGATTTAGATATTGGAAGAGTGTCTGAAGGCAAAAGCCAACTAAATCAAAATATCAAAAACAAACAAAATCAGAACAGACGAAACAAAATCCAAAATGCCTTCAAAGGTCTAGAAACCAACAATACTGAAAACAAACCAATTAGAAGTAAAATACTTCTTGGGGCTGAGAGATAGCTCAGCAGTTAAGAGGACTGGCTGCTCTTGCAGAGTAATTGGGCTGGATTCCCAGCATCCACATGGAAGTTATCAATCATGTGTGACTCCAGTTTCAGGGGACCTGACACCATCTTCTGATCTCTGTGGGCAGTGCACAACACTAGTACACTTACATACATGCAGGCAATATACTCATATACAAAATAAAATTAATACATATTTTTTTAAAAAAGAAATAAAATGCTTCTGAAGCAAGCAAAAAATGGAATCTTTAAAGAAAATGCTTTGAGCACAAACAAACAAATAGATATCTAAAACAGCTCAGAATAAACAAATATACCGTTAACCAGCTCAGAATAAACAAATGGACCATCAACTAATACAGGGAGGTCCAGAACCCAAGAAAGAAATCACCATTACTACTTCAGAAGACAATACTGGATGATGGGCTACAATGGAGCCCTGGCTGGTACCTGGCACCAATCTAATTGATTCTCTAAGTGAAAAGTACATCTTTCTTTTGGGGCCCCACACTGGGCACCAAGCACTGGAAGTGAAATAAACAGCTATCACCGCAAAGGAATTAAAGATGTTTTTCTCTGTATCAAATATGAGTGACCATTACCCGGGAACACATATTTAGGTTTCCCCAAATATCACGTTCCAAAGTGGTAAAAGTTTAAAGAAGTTTTTACAGCAGAATAAGGAAAATTTATAAATAAGACATTTCTCACATACATGGATTGGTACCTTCAGGAGGGGAGGTCACAGCAAAGTGGGGGGAATTCTACTAGAGGGCTCTGATGATATCTGATGACATTCTTAGCCTTTTGATTGATCGGAATTCTTTCTTTGTTAATACATTATGTTTGTCACAGAATGTGAAGTGAGAAACTAAGGTGGGCAAGGAGTATATATTTATAGAACTAAATATGGCTCAAGATTAGTTATAAATAGCTCCGGTGTCTGCAACACTCTAAATGAC